ATTGTCGACGAGATACTGATCGCGCCACTCTTGGAGGGCAACGCGACAGGTACTCGGGTTTGGTTTTCGATGTTGGACCGGTCCGCTGGCAGAACGCTCGTCCATGGCAGGCCGTGATGACTTCTTGAGGTGTTCTCCGCGTCGTCGCGATCGCCGAAGACCATGCTGTGTGGTCTCTTAAAAAAAAACTACACAGAGCCACCGAACAATGCCGAGCGAATGAGAGACTGCCAGTGTAATAAGAATGAAGGGAGAGAAGAAAAGGAAAAGATAAAAATGAGAGAAGGTGGTGGCATGAGAGAAGGGTTCTCTTTCGTCCTGACAAGTCTGGGATCCTGAGATGATTTACGCTTAGCCAATGGCGTCTTTTGTCTAGCGAATTACCGTTTGATTTTCGCAATATATTATGCATCTCGCGAATTATATTGTGACCAATTGCTCGCTGCTGTGACAATAGTTCACAGCACCGAAGTGACCGATCGAAAATGCAACTTCTAGTTTCCCTCGGCATTAGTCTTCCATGGATAGAACGTGTTCTATGTACCTATTCTATATTGGAAATCACATTGATCGTGAGCTTTCCGGCTAATCCTGTTTACTATGCTGTGCTGATAGTTGGTAGGATATAACGAAAATGACTCGATCGTTGCATCGAGTGAGTATGACTTAGGTAATCTCCGGAGAAATTCATGATTTGTAGCATCCAGAGGCAGCGATGTATCAATCGATGCCAATGTGATTGAGCAATGTAATGTCACGGTAATCATCATTTGCATACTTGTAATTTCATCTTAGATAATTCTTAGATTTCGAAACATGTTTTGCAAGAGGAGAAGGTCTACTTTTCGAGAATCAGAATAGAATTATGTGCATATATGATCAGAATGATAATAAAAATATGGAAAATATTTAATATTTTTCCTTTTTTAATCATTTATATCTATGATTACAAGATTTGACTTCACTGTTGTCTTTTATCAAATTGTTTTTCTTGAAATTATAAATTCATTGTTCTAATGTCGCTGTTCTCATTTCGTGTGAACGATTTCTAAACGATATCACACGTTATCCCGTTAAAAAAAATAGGGATTATTAAAGCATATCATGTACGCGATACAAGAAGCT